TAATAAAGTATTTTTCTAATTTTACCAGTTTTATTCTGGTGTATTTATTATGATCAAATTGAAAATCCATTTAACTTCCAGACCGTAAAGCAACAAAATGAACACTTGAATAAGGGGTGTAAACTTTTTAACTGGAAAAAATGCCACTGTGTGGAGTATTTCAAGGCTCTTAATCTGTAAAACACAACCATCACTAAGTAATAAAACCACTGCTAAAAGCTACACACCACAAACAATGCAAGCATGGAGGACAAGTTGATAATCACAAGCAATCCATTGGACTGAGTCAGCACCAGAGCAAGTAAACAGCTACTTGTCACACTTGTTCTTTAGAAGCAAATCACACAAACAAGGACTCAAAGTCTCATCTGATTACAAAACAAAACAACAAATCCTCATGGGAAAAACAAGAAAACATCTGAGTGATGTTTAGCCTTCTGTCATTTTACAGATAAAATGAGAACTGATAAGAAAACTGAGAAAATTTTTTAAAAAATCAGAGACTGAGTGCGCGCACACACACACACAAACGCGCACACACACGATCACTTACATTATGACGAGTTCTTTTGAAGCATTTGGCTTAAGTGCAAACTCTTGACAGTTGAGAACTTTAAAACCATATCCTTCACAAGCTTGTCCGTTGATCTCTGCTGAACTGATGGTGATCGGKAGCAGTCCAGTGTTTTCCACTTTGAAGGTTCTTCTGAGGGTGAAGTTCGGCTCTTTGACTTTTATTTCTGAAAAACACACAACAGGTCCACGGTCGCCAAGAATCAGCACGTGCCTTTTTGGAGAGTGAGCCGACGCGTTCTAAAAACTAATTTTCTCACATGCAGTTAGTTCATCCTGTCACTTTGACTCAGAGGTGTTTTTTGTTCCACCCTCTTAACAAGCAGTTTTCTCTCTGATTCGTCAAAAATGCCAGGTGATCATTGTTTGTTTGAGACCTGCTAAACTAGCCTGGAGGCAGGCGCTATTCAAATGTGAGCTGACAGGGATTTTGTTATGTAAAAACCTGCAAAGGTGACACTTTCAGGCAGTGAAGGAACAGTATGTTCTGTAGGCGAGAACAACTTCTACTGCTGCAACTTCAGAATAATGTCTGTGCTGCTGCTGAGGAATCATGTGGGAAAGATAATGTACAAGTTTTGAATAGTTTAGATTAGTAGCCCTCTGCTTCAGTTACTACATCCATGTAACAGATCGTTTTGTAAAATTATCGCACATGAACCTTGTTATGAAGTCTGGCTCGTTTCACAGCCAGAACGTTTTGTGAATAAATAAAAAGGAGTGAAAAAGTCACGGGCTGTCAGATTATCAGGGTTGTGATCAGTGGCTGCTGTTGAGCAGGAAAATAAACATATGATGTAATGTTTCAGCTCTGAATCACAATACTGTGTGACTCAGTGCAAAACCATCCTGTTATTTATGGAATGCTACTAGGTATCCCAAAGGAAAATTTTAACTACTTTCATTGCAATTCTTAAAAAGTTTATTTGTTAGAGAATAAAAAAACTAAATCCAACGCATTTTAGATTTAGAAAATCAGGCACGTACTTTTTTTTAAATAGCGGCCATTTTACTTGTGACCAGTTGTGTCTCATTTAGACAGTCTAAAGTTCTATTTTATGGGGGTCAAAGACAATGAATAAAAACCTCTAAAACCCATAAAAATTGCTTTACTTACTGACAAACATAGATAACAAGAAAAAGGCTATGGAGGAAGACAAAGAGTCCCAAAAGGAAGTGCTCAGAAAGTGACAGAAATTATCAAAAATGTGGGAAAATTTTAGAATAAACCAAAACGCAGTGAATRCGCTGCACGTCCTCGATGTTTCTGCACCAGAATGAAAACAGCTGATGGGTCTACCGAATGCATCTGGAGTAAACAACAGGTGTTGTTTACGTTCCATTTGCAGAAAATCGGTGATAATCTGTCATGTTACAGATATTACAGGAGGTATATTTTGGCCAACGTTACTTATGCTGACTCATCGTAGTGGCTACCAGGCAGGGTATCATTTAACAGTGTGGACGTTTTGTGATAAAAACAACACTTACTGTGCATCAAATAAAGATAAAAGCACAGAAAACAAATTTATTTGTTGCTGTGCTTCTATCCTAACAAATGAGATACTAGGAGTGAATATTTCAAGTTTAAAAGTATTTATAGTAGTTAGGATATCTTTTTTTATTTCTTTTTATTGTATTTTCTTTGCTGCTGTTATTTATGACTTTGAAACCCAATATCATTAATTAATTATTACTGTTATATCTGTTTATAGCAGTCAAGACTAAATACTTTATTTCCTAAAATGGGAACTATGAACACTGCTTAATAAGACAGTCCTCATTAAAAACATGTATTTACATTTACCATAACAATAACAAGGGAACTTTTCATTTATGTATTTTTTTTATTTATAATTAGTTAATTTTATTTGTCACCATTTTATTTTGGTTTAACTTATTTGGGGAATTTATACTGAAATTTGTTATTGTAGTGTTGCAGTATTTAGTTTTTTGTGGAAAAAGGAAAATGCACAATAAAAATGATTCAAACTAAAAGTAAAAAAACAAGTCCACTCTACAACACTCAATGTACAAACATCAAATTTTTACATTACCTATTTTACTTACTACATTTCTAACATAAAAGATCACATTCAGCTTTCCAAACGACAAAATTCATTTATAGAATTTAGATGGTAAAATTAATTCAGAGGGCTTTGAATTAATGCTCCTCAAACCTCTCACACAAATACAAGCAATTGGAGATGCGTGAATCAAACACAGCTGGTATAGTAATTTAAATCTGATTACAGCAGGGTCATCAGCAAGTGTAGATTACCTGATCACAATATGAACTAATGGTTTTTGTCATAAAATAAACGTAATTACTGCAGAACCTGATAATTAAGAACGTTCAATAGAACAATCGATTACGAAGATAATCGTTAGCTGCAGCCCAAAAAAATAAAAGCTAAGTTTCATGTGTGGAATGGTGCTCTGCTCAGACTCACTCTCTGTGCAGTCCTTCAGCAGGGCCTCTGTCATCTTGTACCTCAGAGAGCTGCCCTGGCCTGGAAGCTTCCCTGCAACCTTCAGGCTCTCAGTTGTACCTYGTCCGTGTAATACGATGGTGTCGATCACCGTCAGGTTGTTCCTAAATGAAAGGAACAAGTTCAGACTGGGTTTCCAGGAGCCTCTGACGGCGTTAAACACCGGGCTCACCTGACGATGAGGAGCGAGGAGACGCTGTGGTTGCTGACGGGGGTGAACCTCACACTGAGTGACTTGACCTCTCCGGGCAGCAGGAGGAGGTTGTACACATACGGTCTGGTCGAGCCTTCGACGAACCCTGAACTGCTTTTTATTAGAAATGTCTGTGAAACAAACCAACCAACAGCCTGTTAGAGGCAAACAGCTTCCTCTGTCCTAACCAGCGACCGGACAGCGACAGGCGGACTCACTTGATTTCTGTGAACCTGGAACTCTAACGTTTTTGTATCTATGTTGATATTGGACAAATTTCCTAATGGCAACCTGACAATTAAAAGCAGAGAGTGTGAGCGCCGCGGTTAGATTCAGGTATGAGGACTGTGATGGTGGTGGTTGGGGGGGACTTCTCACCTGTCTGCCAGCTTTCCTGAAAACACCGAGGGGTTGGGCAGCAGTGCCAACGGGAGAACCTGGACGTAGACTGGGACGTCTGCAGGGTTCTGCAGGATCACCTCCTCATCCTGTGGAGAAACAGAGACATGTCCTGCATCAGACTCACAGAAACCTGAACTATACTCCAACCCAGAGGTCTTCAACCCTGGTCCTCATGACCCACTGTGCTGCAGGTTTAAGGTCTTTCCCTGCTTTAACACCTGATTTAAATAATAAAATGACCTGATCAGAAGGTCATCAGGTTCAGCAGGAGCCTGCCAATCACTCGTTCATTCCAGTCAGGTGTGTTGAAGCAGGGAAAACAGCCAAGAAGGTCAAATTATTTAAGAAGCTCAGTGAAGTACTTTATGTTGGTTTAAATATGATTTTGTGTGGAGATTTTCAAACTGTCACTGAAGATAGAGTTGCTGTTGATCCTTTTAATCTGACACAAGAAGGCAAACTGATTATAACATGAAATTGCTTCAGATTTAAATAGAACTTCATACCTTCTCAAAATTTACGTCACTTGATCTGATGCAAAAACTAGAATCAACAGTATTCTTCACAACTTAAACATCTACAGTTTAAAAACAGTTTTAAATGATTAAAGTTTCAGTTTTGTGTGGATCAAACAATAGGAATGGGTTTTAGAAATTAAACATTAAATGAGTCTGAAACCTAGATAGGGTTTGACTACACTTATAACAAAGTTATAAGGAAATTATCTATCAAGGGATCTCTTTTTGGTAAATATCTCCTCCGTGCAAAAGTGAATGAAACGACACAAAAAGTGACTTCTCTCAGTGAATTTTGAGTTGATCCATCAATAAATGTGATCATTTATTTACACAATCAAAGAAAATCACAGCACGCTTATTGGTGACAAAATGAGTTAAAATGTGAAATATTTAAAGCAACAGATTTGATATTTTCAGATATCAAATTATGGGAATTAAGAGAATTAAAGATTTCTTCCCATTTTAAATGCAAGCAATTAAATCTAAAAGAAAATACTGCACATAAGATGACAGTATGTATATAAAGATTTAGATGTAGTAAAAATACAACCAAGGGAAAAGAAAATGAAATGAACTAAAAATCTCATTTGAAAATGATCAACTATTTAATTTATAAAAGCAGTGGAAGTGTGGACACTCTCCACAGGGAGTGTAGATTATTCCACCTCTGTGTATAAAAGGAACAATAGACACTTTATACTGCATGTTAAAAATCTTAGAGGACATTTAAGCTCTACTGAAGTAGAGAAATGATGTGTGATTTAAAAAATGTGATCATAAATGTTTGGAAGTTCCTCCACTGATGATGCAGCCATCATCTGTTTCTTAGGCTWCGGTCACACCGCAGGCAAATGCGACCAAATCCATGTTTTTTATGACGGTCTGAACGCGACGAATACGTTTTTTTTTTAAATCCAACACAGGCCATTTCAGTGTGTGGTTCTACATCAGATACATATCTGATGTTTTCAAAGTGACTGCAGTGTGAACGCTCATGTCACATTCCATCTGAATCTTTCATCAGTGAGGAGGGGTGAAGGATTCATGAGACTGTTAAATCTGTAGCTCCATGTGTTTACAGCTCCAAAACAAAAGTCCAGTAGCTTCGTCTTTTTACTTTTAATTTTTCATTTAGACAGTATGATAATAAAGACGTCCGGCCTCGGTCATGGAGCGTATCGATCCTAAAGTTACTCAGTCAATACTTTATTTTCTGCTCGTTGCTGTGTTCCAAAAATAAAAAAAAGCTTCACCGGAGCATCCGGTCAGAGGCAGGTTCAGATATAAACACTGAACTAAACAAGCATGTCAGATAATTATTTAATCAGCTCTGATTATACAACTTCAGATTCGATGTGCAAAAAGTAGCATCCATAACCATATATTTATGCACACTTTCACACAAAGTTGGTTTTTTATACATCCCAACGTGGGCGTAGAAACTGGCACACGCAATTTTTTTATGCGTACGCACCGTTTATACATGAGGCCCCTGGTCCAGATAGTCTACCAGCAGAGTTTAATAAACTTTGTTTTAATAAAGTCATTAAACTATTAACTCATATTTTTAATACTAGATTAAAGAAGAGTGTTTTAAGTGAAAAGGTAAAAAAATAACAGCTTAAATATAAAGGACAGTAGGTCACAAGGAACAGGGTTGAAGACCTCTACTCTAACCTTGTGTGTGCGCGCGTGCGTGCGTGTGTGTGCGTGTGTGTGCGTGTGTGTGTGTGTGTGTGCGCGCGCGCGTGTGACCATCAGTGGCAGAGAGTTTGTACTCACAGAGGAACTGTTTGTGTTGGTTAAGGGAAACGTGATTCTTTGTGAAGAGTTGACAAGTGTAGGCCAGGTCAAATGTGCCGTTATTTTAGCCTGAACGTTCTTCTGAAGGTCTGTGTTGACTTCAAACATGGCTTCGATTCTTCGGCAAGAAGAAAGAAATGATTACAAACACACACGAATCGTCAAGAAGCAGAGCAGAGCAGTAGCTTCTCTCAAACATGCTCACTTATGTCCTGAGTTCTCTTTGAGCTCCTTCCATCGTTTGAGGAGGGTCTGGTGGAGGTCAACGTCAGCGTCCCAGATGTCCTCCTGTAATGCCATCACCCCATGGGGTTTAGACTCGGCTGGAAAAACAAAAAAACAAAAAAACTTCCCATTTAGACTTTTAGCTTCCATTCCAACTCAACTATCAACAACTAACATTCACAGGGAGAGAAGCCAAATAAAACATTGATTGTGCTTCTTGATAAGTAAACAGATGAGTTCTGAGAGGATCATATTATGGGAAAAATTACAGATAATTGTATAAATATAAATAAAAAAACAAACAGCTGAGGGGAGAAGTGGTGGGAACGAGGATTATTCAGTCAGAAGGAAAAAATTTAGCTAATCCAAAAAAAGCCTATAAATCAGTTTATAAAAACTGTAAAAAACTAAAACTTGCCTTAAAATGAACATTTGTTTTAAGCTCTTCATATTGACAACTAAAAAACAACTGACCTGCTGCTTTTATTATAACAGTGGATTGTTGTGGTTCTGACATTTGATGGATTTACTTGGGTATCGTCATGATGCTAAAATTACAGATTTTTCTGCTGGCTTTAAAAACTCCAAATGTGTTTTTAGTAAATAAAACAACAGACMACAGCATTTAATACAAGTCAAACTGTTTAGTTTTTGCTCTTGTGGAAAGGTTGTGTCTGTTGTAGAAAGCTATTTACTGTCTCCCCTAGGATGAAGAAACTGTTTTGGTCTGACCGAACMGACAGGCTAGTCCAAGTGGAGCACAGGCCAAAGTGGACTGTTGTTGATGTAAAATATTCCCAGTCTACAAAATGTTTTGTAACGATTCACACAAATGTTATATTATAAACCTTTRCAGTGCCACAAGTTTGACATTACAAGGTTATTTTGTAATGAGATCATATTCMAGCTGGAGGTGTTACAGCCAGAATCAGACCTGAACTCCAACCCATCAACAACTAAGTTGTTCTTTACCTTCTACATACAACACCTCTCGAAAATAACCAAACTACCCCTTTAAATACAGGGTTTAYGTTTTGTTTAACACAAAACAACTGGTTCATTTAGTAAAACTATGTTCTATTTCAGAGTAAAAYAAAAAGCAGAATAACAGACTGTTTTGTGTAGACATGTTTCTTAGATTTATATACAGTAAAAACATTTTAAACTGAGCTTTGTTCACAAATAGTTTAATAATTTCAACTAAAACTACAGTTGTGGTCAAAAGTTTACATACACTTGTAAAAAAACATAATGTTATGGCTGTCTTGAGTTTTCAATAAGTTCTACAACTCTTATTTTTCTGTGATAGAGTGATCGGAACACATACATGTTTATCTAGCGAATTACTCCATGAAACTCAGGACCAGCCTAACCTTCATAAAATAATCC